TGACTGTCACTAAATACCATTTATGTCCCACCTCGCCTGCCATATACGTGTGCGTGTTACTGTGTATAAGCGTGTGCGTGTTCGTATATGCATGCGTGCCCCTGCGTGCGTGCATGCGTGCGTGCGTGGTGCGCACGCGCGCGTGTGTGTTGTCTTTATAGTTTAATTTTGTTTTTCGGCTGAACCATGCTTGCTCTGCAACTAACGGGAGAAGATACGACGAATAATTCCGCCTAATTCCGCAATTGTACGCACGACTGTAATAATAAGACGATTCGCCGCTAACTAATGCTTGGGTTTCTATAGCAATGCCAATAGGTTACCTCGCCATCGTATAAGTCGAGAGCAGCCGTGTATTCTCCCTGTGCGCAAGTACAACAGCAATAATACACAGATATCTCAAACAATAAGCTTCATATATATACTCATGTCTCAGATAATAGGCTTTATATAAATATGTCTCATACAACAAGCTATATATACGCTAATGCTACATCATTTTGCCTCGTGTCGTATACAGCACCCTTGTCGAAAAAAGCCAAGCGTGATTCCTTGATACAACGCCCGCTATTGTCAAAGCAAGTTTTATAAATTATTACACTTAATATTGGCATACCTAACAGAGTAGAGAGAGAACTAGGTATACATACGCGTTCAATGTGGTAAAGCGCCCAGTGCCAGAAATTATGGCATGAGAGGTAGCTACAGGCCTGTAAAAAGCGTTAGAAACATATTTAGAAAAATGCATTTATCGCAAACCCCATCCTCTTCACGATAAGTTAATGTTTTGTCATTAAAATGAATAAAACTTAGAAGTGAAGTTCGTTAACATAGTTATCGTCGACCATTGAAGAATCCTGTTTAAGCCAAGTATGCTCTTTTTACCATAATACCATATATTTGCAATTTACCATAAAATAAAATACAAAATACCCGATATCCAATACCAAATACCTAAATACAATATAATAAAAAAACTAATTACAGAATGCAAGTTACAAATTACAAACTTCCAAATACAAAAGACAAAATACAAAATACAAAACACTAATTACATAATACAAATTGCATAACTACAAAATAGAAAATACCTAAATACCAAATATCATTAGCCACTTTACGAACAGACATGTATGCGATAGCGATGACGTCCCCGTATAATAGACGTTTTTAAAAACAATATGAGACAACTAATATAAATTTAAAGATCAATTTATAGTTTACTTTGTTTATTGTCTAATATTATAAACTAAATTCCTAATTTCTAGAACCAAATCTGATATATGTATAATATATATATATATATATATATAGATAGATAGATATATATTTATATATATATATATATGTCTTAATTCGAGTCCGTGTCGATGTAACGGATCCGATTGCTTGTAATATTTACCGTCCAATTGTCGAGAGTTCTGCTCAGGAACGAGATGCCTTCCTGGCTCCTTCCTTGCATCTCATAGACGTGAGCCAACGCATGCGTTGCCCACCCATCCTTAGGAATCAACTCCAGGCCCTGTCGATTGATACATCTACATAATATTACCATAATCTGAGTGCTATCAGTCGTGCACAAATATGGTGTTTTATTTCACACCTAGGTAGATTCGAGTAACAATTGATATTATATGCGAATGCTCGTACTATGTAAAACGGCGTTCTCTTGTTAGTAAATATTCGTGATTTTAGAGAGTGAGTGTAAGATTGAACGTGCAAGGCAAGATACATGGAACTGTGCGACAGTATCTGCATATGTTGGGATTGGTGCCGCGTTGCCCACCTTTCGTGCATACATCTCCGCTTGACTGTAGTCGTTAGTTTCACAAAGACCAAATGCGTACATCCCGGGTAGATACCTAGATGAAACGTAATAGACATGTTCATATGTATAATCGCTATAATGTATCAGGTAATGTCACCGCAAAGCTAGTACGCCTTGCGCATGTACGCACAGACGCACGCACAGACGCATGCACACACGAACGCACGCACGCACGTAAATACGCATTTGACACACTCTCTCGCGCGCACACAGGCACGCACGCAAGCACACACACACACACACACACACACACACACACACACACACACACACACACACACACACACACACACACACACACACTATACACACGACGCACACACGCACGCACGCACGCACGCACG